TAATAAATGCTCATTCCCTCCCTTGCCTGCTTTGCTTCCAGACCTGTGCTCCATGCCGGAGATCCGCGTGCACGGAGTGGAACCGTCCCCGAGCACAAGGAGTGTGGTTCTGAGGCCGGCAGCCCTCTGTAAGACAAGTGTAGTGGAGAGGAGGGGTGAGGCCGGACCCCAGGCTCAGAGCCCCGACTCGACTCTCCTGGCATAGCCGAGGGGCCGAGCCTGGCGGGGAGGAGAGCTGGGTGGGCAGAGCCCGCGACGGGGGAGTGTCCTGCCCGAGCTCTTGCTCCCAGCTGTCAGGCGTGACCGCGAGAGCCCCATGTTCTAGGCCCACCCGAAGCAAAGCCCCAGCTGCCATCCCTTGCTTGAGCTCGGCCTCGGTGTGGGGAGACTCGGGCCTCTTGGCTGTAAGGAAAGGCTCTTGGAGCCCCAGACGTGTTCAGGAGGACATGAGGCCCCTGGGGAGCTGTCCTTACAGGACTCCTGGGAGGATCCCAGGCCATTAACCCGTGTTTGCCCACTGCCTGGAGAGCTGGAGAAGGATCTTTCTCCTGACCTCCTGCAGATGGTGCATTTTTATTCCCAGTTTATGTAGGAGGAAGCTGAGTTTCTGAGAGGTCAGCGATTTACCCAGCTCTTCTTAGCCTTGCCCCCTCCCCCTCAGGGGCCTGGTAGCCCCTTCCCCACCTTTTCCCTGAGCTCTGTCTCCGGCACAGCAGGGCCCGGATGGAGGAGGCACTCGAGAACCATTTCTTTAATTGAATGAATACGTTGCGTATTTGGCTAGCTGAGGGAAGGGAACCAGGTGCAGGCTTCTTCTGGAGCTGGGCATTGATCTCTGAGTTCAAATGCAGCCGCAGGGCGGAGGGAGACTGGAAAGGAAGGTGTCTGTTCCACTGAGGCACCAGCATCTCCCTGGCTGAAGGGGGGGCTTGGAGCCTCCGAATGGACTCTGGGGGGACACGTGCCCGTTCGGGGTTGCTGGGCTACAACCAGCCTCAGGCTCCCTCTGAGGTGGTGGTGTGACTGGGGCACAGAGAGGGGGACCAGGGGCCGTGTTTGCCTCAGTTTCTTTGTATGGGTTGTTCAGTTATTTCCAACTTTTCATGGCCCCATCTGGGGTCTTCTTGGCAAAGACACTGGAGTAGTTTGCTGTTTCCTTCTCCAGCCCATTTGACAGATGAGGAAACTGAGGCACACAGGGTGAAGTGACTTGCCCAGAATCACACAGTCAGTAAGTGTCTGAGGCCAGATTTGAACTCAGGAAGATGAGGCTTCCTGCCTCCAGGCCTGGTGCTCTGTGTCTCCCTCTAGCCACCCCCTCTTCATCTCTAAAATGGGTTTAATAAGAGCAGCTGCCTCCCAGGGTTGTGGTGAGGATGTAATGAGATAATAGTGAAAAGCAGCGTGTAAATGCCCGCTATCGTCCTTCCTGTGGTGAAGCGCCTGCTAGGGGCAACGGGGCAAAGAATGCAGTGACCCTTGCTCTCCTGTTAGCTCTGTGAGCTCAGCCCTCCTTGTCTGCACACTGGGCGCCTTCCCAGCCATCGCACCCACCTGGAGGGATTGGCCCGTGGCTGGCGGGTGTGCGGTGTCTGTAAGCCACCTAAGGAGGCGAGTATCTGTGGCGGTGACCCCAGGCACTCTGTGGACACTTTAATAACGCCTGTTGAATTTGAAGGTGCACCCTTGATCCTACCTTACTCTGTGCTCTAGTCCTGAGGGCTGGGAACTCACCTGAAATCAGTTCTCCATGATGGATAGAGAAATCTGCCCCGCCCTCCCTCCCAAGCTGCCTCCTATTCTGTATCTTTATATCTTGTGCATATGTTTGCGTTTATTCATTTTATAGTTATATTTATTCATAGAAATGTATGTGTGCTTGTCTTTCCAATTAGGATGTAAGCTCCTTGAGAGTAGGGATTGTTTTATTCTTTGTCATCGTATGCCTAAAGCCCAGCCCAGTACCTGGCACGTGGAAGGTCATTCCAGCCGGGTGAAGGATGGTTTGAGAGAAGGTGCTGGGGAACATCGTGTGAAGACCGATTCAGAGGCACTGACCAGATCAGGCTGGATCGAGAAGAGGATATGTACTGAGGAGTGGTGGGAGATGCTTGGCAAGGTAGATTGGGACCACGTTACAGAGAGCTTTGAATACCAGGCAGAGCAGTTTGGACTTCATCTTATAGGTGGTAGGGAGCCATGGAAGGTTTTTGAGCAGTAGAGTGACAGATTGAGAGAGAACTCCTAATTGGGGGAGAGGAGTTGTACAGAATGGCTGGGACAGGGAGATGACACCAGTTAAACTATTGCGGTCCGTCAAGCACGACGTGGGTCATGGCAGTGGGAAGCCAATAGGAAGGACGAGAGATGGAGCAAGTCTTGCTCATTGGTTGGCTATGGAAAGTCAAGGTGAGAGAATTCAAGATGGCTCCTGGGTCTTGAGGGTGAATGACTGAAGATGCCATTGACAGAAAAGTGAGGCCAGGAGCCAGGTTGGAGGACATTTCAGGCTGAAGTTGATGGCCACGCCTTGCAGGAAGATGGAGGCTGGGCCTTGACCTCATGAGAAATAAGGTCGGGGTTACATTTATAGACGCTAGTAGTGAAAGACTGTTGTAGCAGATCCGGTGCAGCTCTCTCCTTTTACAGAGGGGGAAGCTGAGGCCAAGAGAGAGAAGGCACTTCCCCAAGGGCTCCATAGCTAGAAAGTGGCAGAGCCTTGGTCCGAGGACCTACGCCGCCCGCCGTGCACTGCCTCCGTCTAGAGCAGGGGTCCTTGGTCTTTGTATCTTACCACAGTGCCTGGCACATAGGAGGCACTTGATGCTTATTGACCGACCCCCCCGACCCCCTCGGGAAGTCCGGTGAAGCTTTCTGGGCCCTTTCTCAGAATAAGGCATTTAAATGCATAGAATACAACATGTAGGATTGCTGAAGAAACCAACGGTTAGTGAAAACAGAGATGTCATTATCTTCTGTGCAAGTTCACAGACCCTGAAATCTCTCCAGGGTCTCTGAGTCCCTCAGTGAGAGGGTCTGCCTTGGAGGCAGGAGGACCCAGGTTCCTCAGCACAAACCAGCCGTGTGTCCCTGGACAGGTCACGGAATGGCTTAGCATCCTAGAAAACATACATGGGCTGTTGGGGACAGACGCGCTGCAGAACTCCACGCCTGGAGGGGTTGTCCTATTATCACGAGGGCTGGCAGCACCCGCAGACGTGTGCATGGACAGACATGGACGCTGTGACACAGCGCCACCTGATCTGAGATCTCATCCATCGGGATATTCCCTCTTATGATGCGAGGGGCAGCTAGGTGGCGCAGTGAATAGAGCTCTGGCCTTGGAGTCAGGAGGACCAGAGTTCAAATCCAGCCTCAGACAGTTACTAGCTGTGTGACCCTGGGCAAGTCCCTTAACCCCAATCACCTAAGTAAAAACAGGAAAAAAAAACAAACAAAAAAACCCCAAACTAAATACTTCCCTCTAATGATGCAGAAGGGGCGGGGACAGGGAGAGACAGACACAGACACAGACACAGACACAGAGCATAGAGAGACGGTAGAAAAAGGACAGTAACTCTGTTAAAACCAAGGCTTGGACTGACCCAACATTGGGGTCCCTTTCTCCTCTGAAGTGCTCCGGGTCAGGAGCCTTGGGTTCAATTCCCAAGGTCACCTTGAACCTTGGGTTCCTCACCTGTAAAATTGGCATGAACAACACCATCCCTTTGCCATGGAGCTGCTGGGAATCTGGAAGCCCTCGAGAAAGATGAACTCTTCTCACTCGTGACACTTGACACAGAAGTTGTTGGGTGGACGTGGCTTCCTCCTGGGGAAGGCATCTCTCTCCCACAGAGGAAGGGGCTGACTGGAGGTGAGAGGCCCCCTTGTCCTTGGGGGTCTTCCAGCAGGTGACTGGCCCTGGGGTCACGGAAGGGAAATGACTTACCCAAAGCCACACATGCATTAAATAGCAAAGATGAGATTTGAACCCAGGGCCTGCCACTCCAAATCGAGCCAGCACCCTTTGTACTGTGGCACACAGATGCTTGTCAGAAGCGTTATAAAGGGGCTTCTCCTTCAGCCTCTGGAGCCCCTTCCGGCGCTGAGAATCGTCCTCCAGTCCAGCAGATTCATCTTGTTTGACTGTGATCCACCCGCAGCAAGCATTTATTAAGCGACTGCTGTGTGCCCAGGCTCTGTGCTGTGTGCTGGGGATTTAGAGAAGCACAGTCTAATGCCAAGGCTGTAAAGGCTGAGACCCCTCTGCCTCCCACCCCCGCCTGACCCCGGGCAAGTCAGCCCGCCTCAGTGGGCCATCTGCTTCCTCACCTGCAAAATGAAGGAGCTGGGCAAGAGGATCGTGGAGGCCTCTTTGGACTCTCAGTCTCTTGGCCTCCAGAGCCAGTTCTCTGCCCCAAGGTCAGGGCCCCAGCACCATGCTTGGTCCCTGGCCCGCTCTGTGGGTTTGCGATGTTACTCGTGGAAAGATGTGGTGTGATAGCACGGCCAGGCCTGAGTCTGCCATTTACTGGCCGTGTGACCCTGGGCAGGTCACCTGGCCTTTTCCAGATTCAGTTTCCTCATCCAGAATGGGGGTGATAATAGCACCTGTCTCCCAGGGCTGCTGTGAGGATCAGGTGAGATAGTATTTGTCAAGCACTTTGCTGACCTTAAAGTGATTGTGTATGTATGTGTATATGTACACACACACATATACATAGATACACACGTACGCACACATCTGTACACACACATACATATACACACAGACACACAAATACATATATACTTATGCATGTACATATACACAAAGAGAGAAAGAGATGTGTGTTCCCTCGAATTGTCATTGCTGATCAGCACTCCTACCGCTCACCATCACTACCTGAGCAAGGCCCGACAGAGGTAGGGTGAGCTTTCTTCCTTTGGCCCCCAGCACCTCTTTGCTGTTTATTTCTGCACTGGGTCAGTGCTTTGAAGGAACCTTATTCTCTTTGCAGCAGTAGCAGCAGCCGCCAGGCCTCCTTTTCTGGGGAAGGACTCAAGGGCCCAGAGGAAACGACCGCGGCATTGGACGAGTGCGCTGCCTGGCTAGCGGCCTATTTCCACGCTCCAGAGACCGTGGAAGATCTCCCTCTGCCTGCCTTCCATCATCCCATCTTCCAGCAAGGTAGGTCCGCTCCAAGTTCTGTGGTGTTTCATGTGTAACGTGTGCCTCAAGGAGCCCTCGCGGTAGATCCCATGCAGAATTCTGTTCTGGCTCTGACTGATTCAGCCTCCCTTTTTACTTCTCCCGTGCCAGAGCACCAGCTCAGCCCCCTGGCTCAAGGATCCATCCTCTCCGCCTGCTCCGAGTGGGCGTGTCAGTTTGGGCTCACACTCACCTCATTCTTGGCCCAGGCTGTACAAATGATGCAGTTCAACTCTTGACATTCGCCGGCTTCAAAGTTCCAATAGGAACACATCTGAATGGCAGTAAATTTTTCAGTAAGCTGATTGTTCACATGAACTGTCTTTTGGCTGATGGCACAGGGAGTGAGGCTTGTGATTGGCCAGTTAGCCCCTCCCAGAAGCACGCTAGGTGACAGTCACATTCCATTAGATAACCAGGTTGTGTTTTTTCAGCATTCGCTAAATTGTCTCTCTCAGAGTTGCCACAGACAGTATATTAAAAGTTTCTAAATTGATGAATGGAGAAGCTATTACCTAAGTGCAATATGCTAAGGTACTTAGAGGTGATGTCAACCTAAAAGCATTTTTCCACTGTTATTTTTCCTTTAAAAAAAACCTTTGTCAAGATCTGTTCACTATAAAAGTTACTTATGGCAACAGAAATAGTTTGAGAAAATGTGAGAGAGACTGACTTTTGCATAATTATCATTTTCACAAGTACTAGTAATTTACAGCACCTATACTAGCTTGGAAATCTCCCTAAGAAACCACTTTTTCCTAATGTTTTAGATTCAAGGAAAGTAGAGCTTTGTTGAATTTAGAAATGGAATTTCCTCAATTACGCTTTTTCTGTGGTGGTCAGATTGCTTCTGCAAACTTTTAGGAAATAAAGCTTGAAAAGGGAATGGAGACATCAGGCTTTGCTCTTTGTCACAAGGGCTGGTTTCATTGTTGAATTGGCTTGCGAAGCCATTGTTTAAACCTACTGGAAGCGGGGGCTGAATGTAAGTGCTGGAGCATGTCACTGCCGGGCAAGGGAGCCATGAATCTGCAAAACCGCCTCGGCACATGTTTGCCCAGCAGGCCCAAACTGTTGCCCTTTGCCCGAGCCGCAGTTGTGACCTCCTGAAAGTACTTGGGATGATAGCATTTAGAGAAGGGATGACCCTGGAGGACCCCCCAGCCAGTCCTGGGCGTGTCTCTCTGTAGCACTGTCCGCACCTCCCTCTGTCTCACCTCACTGTAGTGTAACAGTGAGAGAGGAGTGCCTGGAGTCCGAAGACACGGATTCAGCTTCTGGCTGGCTGTGCAGAGAGATCTTTCCTCTTTGAACCTCCGCTTCCCCATCTGCAAAATGGAGGTGATCATTCTTGCCCTGTCTGCCTCAAAGGGTTGTTAAACTCTTTGGGCTCCATATAACCAGGGATCATTGGCCCTCCGGTTCTCCCTGGGCTGTGTCACCCATTTTTCCTCTTGACTTTGACCTCTTCCAAATGGTGTCCCATTTGACGGGCATCGTCCTTGAGCAGTGGGAGGAAAGAGAGACCAACAGGGAACTTGGCCTGGATTCGCCTCTTGGCCTGGTCCATCTCAGAGTCTCGCCGCTAGGGAGGCGGAGGACTCTCAGGAGAGGCCGTTTGTGTAAGCGCGCCATGTTGTCTACGCGGCTCCGGGCTTTGGCCCTTCCTCAGACACAGCCATCATCCCGTGAGCCCGGCCACATGGCTACCTGTTGGCTGCGCTGTTGAGGTTCCTGCATGTGGAGACATCGTGCACTCCCGGGATGTGTGGTGCAGTGGGAAGAACGCTGGTTTGGAGTCAAAAGAGGCAGGTTCCGGTCCTCCCTCTCACTGTGACCTTGGACAAGTCATTGTACGTGAGGGGGTTGAGCTACATGAGGTGCCTTCTAGGTGTGTGTTCGATGAGATTGGCAGCACAGAAGAGATACACAGATGTTTCACAAGGCTGTGTGTGCACGTGTGCGTATGTGCATGTATCCTTGACCCCTCGGGCCATTTCTCTGACAAACACTAACAACCCCCTTCTCAGAATTGTGTCTTTCAATGAGTAGATTAAAATATTTTCTATTGCAAAGGAAACCAGATATAGCGAGATACAGCCCATCAATTTTTTATCAGTTTTTATTACCAGTTTGTTTTTTTTTAAACGTACACAGGGCCTGGGTGAAGAAGCCCTGTACCAGACAGAGAAGTCGGAGCCGGCAGGGACTGGTGGGGCTGGGGGCTTTTGGGGGGCAGGCTGCCTCGGAGAAGAGTGCCTAATGAGGCCCTTGCAGCTGCCCTCCCCGGGAGCAGAGCAGGGGCGTCTGTTCAGGTGAATTGCCATATGTTGTGAGTTCTTAGGAAAGCAGTGGAGAGACCCCAGAGGTCAGCCAGACCCAGAGAGCGAGAAAGTGGCCATGGGGCTGGGGCATTTCCTTCAGAGGCTGGGCCACCAGTAATAGGGAGGAAGCCCACCTGTCTCCCCTTACTCATGGCTATGTGGGAAACTGTGCAGCTCGGGCTTCCTGGGCCTTCTTCTGCTGAGCCTTCGTTGGTGGGGGGTCCAAAGATGGGAGCCCGTCTACACTGGCTCTCTTGCTCCTGGCTGGCTCCACAGCCCTCTCTTCTTTGGCTTTGTACTGCAGGCTGGTAGTCCCTGGGTCCAGCCTCCCCGCCAGGTTCCTGCTCACACCCACCGTCTTCCCACCACCCGGTCCCAGGGGCCGAGCTTGGGACCGGCCCCATCCGAGCATGAGTAGGTACTGGTTGTTTTAATTTAGCTCAATTATTGACTGGACAGAGACCAGGTTTGCCCATTTTATGGCGACAAGGAGGAGGGAGGCATCATAAAAATGCTGATGCAGAATTAATTGGCACTCCCTGCATGGCTGTTTTGCTTGGAGCTGCTGGGAACCTTGGTTTGTCTCAGAACCCCGGTTTGTGGGGCATTGTGAAGAAGGGGGGTTACAGAAAGCATGGGAGCACCCCATCTGGGCGAGGCGCATTAGGCCATGAGTTTGGAGGGGGTGGGACGTCTTCTCTGACGGTGGGAAGGAGAGGTGCCTTCAAGATGGAAGATGGGGAAGGAGCCGATGCCAGCTTGAAAACAGTTGTCTTAGCCTAATTTTATTTTCAGCACATTTTAGTTTTCTGAAATTTTTAAAAAATGGGTTTTATAGATGGGGAAAAAAAATGTGAAGACCAATCAGTGTGTCATCCTCCTAGATCACGTGGCTCTAAATTGAGCCCAAGTGTCAGCGTTTCGTGGTCCACAAAGCAGCTGCTGACTGTGGCGTTCCTGATGCCCGTCCCTCTGTGCCCATTGCTGGCGCCTGATTGCCCGGGCTCTGTCCCTCCTCTTCTGGGGCAGCCTGACCGACATCGGTGCCCGCTCCCCAGAGCCTTCCCCACCTGCTGCTCCCAGGCTGCCTGTGGGTGCCCTTGGTCACTCCTAGCCACCCAGAGTAGCTGCCCCCGGGAGAACAGAAGTTCCTGGAGGGCAGGCGCTTTCCTTTCTCCAGCCATTAGCACTTGCTTGCACTGAATAGGCACTTTAGAAGTGCCTGTTTAATTAACAAATAAATTAATTAATCCATCCGTGAGTGACTGATCAAAAGCCAGTCTTTAGGAGGGAAAAATCTCCGGAGCCCTCCATCACAGGGCAGCTGAGTGGCACAGTGGACGCCTCACAGAACCTGGAGTCAAGGAGACCTGGGCTCAGATCATGCCTCTGATGTTTATTGGCTAGCCATATGACCCCAGATAAGTAACTTAATCTCTGTTTGCCTCAGTTTCCTCATCTGTACTATGGGGCTGATAATAGCGTCTCCCCAACACAACTATGAGCAGCTAGGTGGATAGAGCACTGGGTCTGGAGTGAGGAGGACTCATCTTCCTGAGTTCAGATCTGACCTCAGACAGTTCCTGGCTATGTGACCCTGGGCTAGTCACTGCACCTTGTTTGCCTCAGTTTCCTCGTCTGTAAAACAAGCTGGGGAAGGAAATGTCAAATGGCTCCAGGATCTTTGCCAAGAAAAAACCCGATGGGGTGAGGAACTGAAGAGCACAGCCATTGTGAGGGTGGAACAAGAGACGTTCTGCCTCAGTGCTGGCTATTACTGGTGTTCTTACTGTTCTTCTTATGATTTCTTTTTTGTTTGTGGTCAAAACCAACGCACAGTAAAGGATGTGAATTTAAAATGTGGCCAGAGGGACAGGATCTCTCCATAGAATCGCAGGGTCTGGAGCTGGAAGGATTCCCTGTGCCCCAATTTTAGAGGGGAGGCAGGTGAAGCCCAAGCAGAGAACAGATTGGCCTCGCCCGAACCCCCACACGTAGCACGTGGTGGGTCTGCTGGCTCCCAACCCAGCACACTGTCCTTGGTCTGCTCTTTCCTCAACTCCTGTCAGGGAAGGTTGGCGACACAGCTGCCCTCCCTTAGCACACACCAAATTGGATTTCTGCCTTTTTTTCTACACCCTCATTCAGTTACTTAGTATGTAAAATCCAGTAAATATCTTTATGCTCTTTAACAAAGTGATAAGAAATATATTAAAGGGCATTTTCCTATTTCTTCTGCTTGCCCCAAACCCCCTTTTTAATTGTATTTACATTGTTTCTGAAAGAGAAGAACTGAATGTGAAACTTCGTGGGCCAAAATTTAATATTACCTTCTGACCCGCGGTCCAGATATTCGTCCTCAAAATGTCTGCAGAAAGGAACATGCGAGTGTATGCGGCAATAATTAATAATAATAACTGGTGGTCATACAGTCAGTCCTCAACGTCCTTGCATTTAACTTTGGCAACTTCAAGCATTCACATGATTTTATTAGTAACCTTACGATCACTTTTGTGTTGGTGGCCTCGCCCGCCTGCGACCATACAGCATGGTGCACACAAGTTTGTGGAGCCGCTGCTGTCCCACTAGGTGCTTCCCTGGTCTTGTACACCCACCCAAGGTAAAGAGCTCATTGCATATTTTCATTGTTTGCTT